AAGCAGGGGCCGCCGGGGGGTATCGCATTCATCCGTTCGCGCCCGGATTGCGGGGATGTGAGCAGTTTGCTTGTTCTGTGCCCCAACATCTTCTGCATTCGGAGCAGATTCTGGGGATGTCTTTGGCGTGTCGCTGGTTTTCGCACCCTTGGGGATTGGGTGGAGGCACGATTGCGAGGATGTCTCGAGCGGTATGCTTGTATTGCTGGCCATAGTCGCTTGCGTTCAGAGCAGGTCCTGAGGATGTCTTGGGCGAGGCGCTGGCTTCAGCACACCCAGCGGGGAAGCCACCAGGGGGTATCTCACTCGTCCGTTCGCGCCCAGATTGAGGGGATGTCTTGAGCGGTTTGTTTGTTTGTGCCCCAGCATCTTCAGCTGTCGGAGCAGAGTTTGAGGATGTCTCGGACGAGGCGCTGGATTTCGTACCCCAGGGGGTCCAGATTGCGAGGATGTCTCGAGCGGTTTGCTTGTTCTGATGGCCAGATTCGCTTGTGTTCGGAGCAGACCCTGAGGATGTCTCGGGCGAGGCGTTGGCTTTCGCACCCCGGGGCGCCCAGATTATGTGAATGTGTCAGATTCACTCATGCTCAACCTCGCTCGTGCTCAGGCTCATTCATATTCAAACTCGGACTTACTCACACTCAGACTTACACGCACTCAGATCCACTCGCACTTATACCCACCCACCTTCAGACTCACTCGTAGTCAGACTCACTCGTACTCTGACCCACTCAGTCTCATACTCGTACTCATCACATTCAGACCCACTCACATTCGTATTTACTCATACTCAGGATCGCTCACACTCAGACAGACCCACCCTCACATTCATTCATAGTCAGACTCACGGTCAGATCCACACTCAGGCTCACTCTCACCCAGACTCATCCATATTCAGACTTACGCATTCTCAGACCCACTCGTACCCAGACTCTCTCATCCCTAAGTTTCTGACACTCACACTCAACCATGCCCGGGTTCACTTACATTCAGATTCACTCATATTCATCCTTCGTGCTCAGGTTCACTCAGTATTCTCTCCTTTGGTGGTCCAGTGCCCCTCGCTCTTCATTGATGCTTCGTTCATCTTTCCTGGAAGAGTCCCAGATAATGAAGACGTCACTGAATTCGTCGCTGTCGCCGTCGTTGTTGTCGCGCCCGTCGTCCACGGCGACTCGCTCTCACACCCATGTGCTCACAGACAGAGTTCTTCAGCGAGACGTGAGAGGAATACTAGCCGGCCGCTCTGCGGTTGATCGGGAGTTTCTGTATATAGAAGAAGGTGCGTGCGCTTGTTGGCGAGGGTGATGAGGTTCCTCCTCCTCCTCCTCCTCCTCCTCCTCCTCCTCCTCCATCCTTCTCTTGCCTCCGTCTGTCCTCCTCCACCCCGCAGCTCCATCATCTCCTCCTCCTCCTCCTCCTCCTCCTCCTCCTCCTCCTCCTCATTCCTCCTCTGGGCACCTCCCCCGGGGCGCGGATCCACCGGATCTGTCCGGATCTGTCCGGAAACGGTGCCGGAGGCCGCTCTGGGCTCCTCTGGGCACCTCCCCCGGGGCCGGTTTTGTGAGGATGTCTCAAGCGAGGGCGCCGGTTTGGGATTCGTCGGCGGATCCAGCGGATCCACCGGATCTGTCCGGAAACGGTGCCGGAGGCCGCTCTGGGCTCCTCTGGGCACCTCCCCCGGGGCCGGTTTTGTGAGGATGTCTCAAGCGAGGGCGCCGGTTTGGGATTCGTCACCGGATCCAGCGGATCCAGCGGATCCCGGATCTGTCCGGAAACGGTGCCGGAGGCACGGGCTCCTCTGGGCATCTGCCGGTTTTGTGAGGATGTCTCAAGCGAGGGCGCCGGTTTGGGATTCGTCACCGGATCCAGCGGATCCAGCGGCCGGATCTGTCCGGAAACGGTGCCGGAGGCCGCTCTGGGCTCCTCTGGGCACCTCCCCCGGGGCCGGTTTTGTGAGGATGTCTCAAGCGAGGGCGCCGGTTTGGGATTCGTCACCGGATCCAGCGGATCCACCGGATCTGTCCGGAAACGGTGCCGGAGGCCGCTCTGGGCTCCTCTGGGCACCTCCCCCGGGGCCGGTTTTGTGAGGATGTCTCAAGCGAGGGCGCCGGTTTGGGATTCGTCACCGGATCCAGCGGATCCAGCGGATCCCGGATCCGTCCGGAAACGGTGCCGGAGGCCGCTCTGGGCTCCTCTGGGCATCCCCCCCGGGGCCCGTTTTGTGAGGATGTCTCAGCGAGGGCGCCGGTTTGGGATTCGTCACCGGATCCAGCGGATCCAGCGGATCCAGCGGATCCAGCGGATGTCCGGAAACGGTGCCGGAGGCCGCTCTGGGCTCCTCTGGGCACCTCCCCCGGGGCCGGTTTTGTGAGGATGTCTCAAGCGAGGGCGCCGGTTTGGGATTCGTCACCGGATCCAGCGGATCCAGCGGATCCCGGATCTGTCCGGAAACGGTGCCGGAGGCCGCTCTGGGCTCCTCTGGGCACCTCCCCCGGGGCCGGTTTTGTGAGGATGTCTCAAGCGAGGGCGCCGGTTTGGGATTCGTCACCGGATCCAGCGGATCCAGCGGATCCACCGGATCCGTCCGGAAACGGTGCCGGAGGCCGCTCTGGGCTCCTCTGGGCACCTCCCCCGGGGCCGGTTTTGTGAGGATGTCTCAAGCGAGGGCGCCGGTTTGGGATTCGTCACCGGATCCAGCGGATCCAGCGGATCCACCGGATCTGTCCGGAAACGGTGCCGGAGGCCGCTCTGGGCTCCTCTGGGCACCTCCCCCGGGGCCGGTTTTGTGAGGATGTCTCAAGCGAGGGCGCCGGTTTGGGATTCGTCACCGGATCCAGCGGATCCAGCGGATCCACCGGATCTGTCCGGAAACGGTGCCGGAGGCCGCTCTGGGCTCCTCTGGGCACCTCCCCCGACGCCGGTTTTGTGAGGATGTCTCAAGCGAGGGCGCCGGTTCGGGATTCGTCACCGGATCCAGCTGATCCAGCGGATCCACCGGATCTGTCCGGAAACGGTGCCGGAGGCCGCTCTGGACTCGTGCTCTTCGCGCCGGGGGTGAGGATGACGTGAGTTCCACAGAAACTCCCTCAAATGAGATGCACACTGGGGAGCTCCACGCAGTTGCCATCATCGTCAGAACAATCCTCGCTCCCAGCGTACCCCCTCTAGGGGGGGATGGGTGTCCGAAGGAATCATATTGTACCCACCCCAACCCATGGGGGGGCAGATTGCGCAGCGGGCCAAGGTTTCCCTGGTGGGGGTGGGGATTTGTTTCGCTCGTCCAGAAAGCGCACCATGTGCTCATCTTCGTCCCACAGGAGGACTGGACATGAATCGACGTTGGGGGCAGTGGGTGGCATAATCATACTCAGTTGGTGGTTCGCGCGGATTTCTTGGGGCAGCGCTGGACACCCGTGGCGGCACCTCCAGCGCCGACCCAAGACATCCGCGCGTTTGTTTTCGCTTATCTTTGGGCCTCCCGCCAAGCCCTCGTCGCCGCCTGGATCCGCTTCGAATTCCTTTGGGCTGTTCTTCGTTTTGGGCCTCCTGGGGGGCCTTCATCGCCACGTGGATTCGCCTTCCCCTCAAGCCCGATGCGACGAAATCATCACGACTCGGAGTCTGCGAACGACTCTGACAATCGTGGCATGTTCTTTGCCAACGCACCGGTGCAATCTGGGCGAGCCCCTTCCTCGTCCTCGTCCTCGTCTCCGTCGCCGTCACCGTCTCCGTCGCCGTCGCCGTTGCCGTTTCCTTCGCCGCCGCCGCCGTCGCAGTCGCCGTCGCCGTCGCCATTGCCGTCGTCGTCGTCGTCGTCGTCGTCGTCGTCGTCGGCGTCGTTGCCGGCGTCGTCGTCGTCGTCGTCGTCCTCGTCCCGCCGCCCCTGGGAGATCGGTATCCCTGGGCCCACGGCAACCTGACGGGGCACCACGCGCCGTGTGCCAGGGTCTCGAGACCCTGAACGCCCAGCGCCTGGTGGCTGTTCCTCTTAATGCCTGGCTGCCTGGTACCTTCTATGCGTGGACGACTCGTGTGCACTGTGCCGCGCTCGTATCTCCACAGGCGTCGTCGATCCTCCGACCCAGGAATTGTATGGTGCATAGTTTTTCAACTATGCGCCGTACCGCGTTGGGACGGGGCCTGAAGGGAGTCCAGACATGGTGCGATGCATGGTCACCGTTCTCGAATTCCACCCCCGAGGGCGGTGTGGAGTCTCCCAGTCCTCGCCCTTGTCCCCCTTCCTTCTCCCCTCTCCCTTTTCGCGGCTGGGGCGGGGCCCCCGCAGCGGGTCTCTCCCGTCTGGCCTGGGCGAAGGCTCTGACCGCCTCGAGGGCCGAGGGGACCCCCCTTTTCCCCTGGGCCCCTTCACGTCCAGGCTGCCCACTCCACGCGCACTTCCCGCCATGGACTTTGCATCGCTCGGACGTGTGCATTTTTCTCGGCGGGGATCATCGAGGAGCATGCTGGACCATCCTGCGACGAAAATACACGCGTGACGCCGCAAAATGCACCGGGAGTGGACGCCCGAGCCATGGCAAGAGGAGTGGGGCGCGGGAGGAGAGAAGGCTCGAGGAGAGGATGGAGGGGTTCGTGGGGGTGCGTTTTGATAAGGAAAGGGCGAGGACGGTCCTGCGGTAGGGCTACCGATCGACTACTGCCAGTTTCGATGTCGCCAGCGGCCTCACGCGGTGGTCGCTACTGTGCCTGTGGTGGGGAAGAAGAACTACTGAGTGTGTTTTCTCCTCTTCTTGGGCCTCCAGGAACGTCTTCCTCGCCACCCACCTCGCCCTCTTTGCCAGAACTCACCCCAGGAGAGACCCAGGTGGTCAACTTCAGGGTCGCCGTGCACGCCAGCGGCGGCGGACGGCAGCGGCGGCGGACGGCGACAACGACGGTAGCGAAGCCTTGGCGATGAGGCCCCGAGAGCTCGCGCGAGATCATGTTGGGGCAGGAGAGCGTGCGTGCGGGGGCGGGTCGGGGAGTGGGGGGGCGCCAAGGCATAGCGACTCTGATGCTGTACGTCCCGACGGAGCTCGGGGTGGCACACCAGGAGCTGGGAGGGTGTGCGGCAGCCTTCGAGCAACGAGGGGGCAGGAGAATGCATGAAGTTCATTTCATCGAGGGTAGAAGACTCCTAACCCTAATGGCACGATGAAGTCGTGGCCTCACTGAGATCCCCGTCTTGGCACTAGGGGTAATATGGTCTGATACATCTGCAGAAAAGCAACTCTCCCTAATGTTTTTGGCCCTCCAAACTGAAATCCCCTCTCAAAGGTTTAGGGATACTTTTACTGCTCATCATCATCCTGGCGGGAAAAAACGTGTGCCAGCACAGACCGTGCACGTGGGGACAGGAGGGAGGGGGGGAGGATGGGGAAGCACGGGGGAAGGCTGAGAATGGCCGATGAGGGAGGAACGTGGGAGCAGAAGCATGAGGAGGACAAGGAGGGATGGGAGTTTGGGAGAAGGGCGAGGAGGACGAGGAGGCCGAGGAGGACCTTTGCTTCTTTTCTTCCGAGGTTGTCTCTAACGAGCGCATCCGTGGGGGGAACAGCACGCTCACCCGCAATGGCGGAGGTGCCTTCGACAGCCGCAGCACCGCCCAGGTTAGTGAGTACACTCGATGCTCACTCCCTCCTGAAACCCGGCACGGGATGTTCGCGTCGTGTTGACCGGCGGCGACCCCGCCGCCGGCGTTCCACGGACGCCGCCGGCGACCCAGGATCGGCCGATGTTGAACGATCCGATATTTCGGAAACTGGCGATCGTATAAGGTTGAACGATCTCCGCAGTGTCGGGAACCAACGTCAGGGTCGGCACGACACGAACCCGCGGTAGACATCATGGTATCACTACCGCCATGAATGGGGGGCGGCCCACAGATTTGTCATCGCTCAGACGTGTGCGTTTGCTCTCGGCGAGGACCATCGAGGAGCATCCTGGATCATTGAGCAAACGAAACAGCCGCGCACGCTATCGAAATATGCACGGGGAATGGACGTCCGCGCGATGGCGAGGAGAGCGCCTCGCCTCCGGCGCCTTTGCTCCCCTTGGCGCCCCTGCCCATCTGAGGGGGGCGGCGAGAGCAAGACGGGGGCGGCTCCGCCGGTGGAAGGCCAGCGGGAGCTTGACGAGCGGAGGAGAGCGGAGGAGGGGGGGATGGGGAGGAGGACGGATGATTCGACTACACGTCAGAGTGACATTGCGACGGCGTAACTTTTGGTGCGGGCTCACTGGGGTCCCCCCGATCGCTGAGCGCGAAGCGGTAGCGGCTGCTTGCGCGCTTGGATTTGGCCACCTTGCGCCCCTTTAACCGCGACAAGTCTTTAGTTTTGACCCCCCCTTTGCACTCGGCGGTGAATCGGACTGGTCCTAAAACGTATTCGTCCTCTTCCCCCCGCTCCCCCTTCTCCTCCTCCTCCTCCTCCTCCTGTTCCTCCTCCTTCTCCACATTAGGAATGACACGAGGAGGCAAACTACTGTCAGGATTATGATTGCTCTAGTGCTATTCCGTTTGTTATGCCTGTTAGGATGACTACCAGTATATTTCTTAGGTTCTGATTTTTACTCCTACAATTGTTGTTTCTCCGAAGGAGGAGGAAGAAGAGGAGGAGAAGAAGGAGAGAAGGAGGAGGAGGGTAGTGACGATTACTGCAATCATTACTACTACTACTACTACTACTACTGCTACTACTACTACTACTACTACCACTACTACTACTACTTCTACTACTACTACTACTACTACTACTACTACTACTACTACTACCACTACTACTACTACTACTAACTACTACTACTACTACTACTACTACTACTACTACTACCTACTATACTACTACTACTACTACTACTTACTACTACTACTATACTACTACACTACTACTACGACTACTTCTACTACACTACTACTACTACTACTACTACTACTACTACTACTACTACTACTACTACTACTACTACTACTACTACTACTACTACTACTACTACTACTACTACTACTACTACTACTACTACTACTACTACTACTACTACTACTACTACTACTACTACTACTACTACTACTACTACTACTACTACTACTACGTACTACTACTACTGGACTACTACTACTACTACTACTACGCTACTTCTACTATGACTACTTACTACTGCTACTACTACTGCTACTGCTACTACTACTACTAGCACTACTACTACTACTACTACTACTACTACCTACTACTACTACTACTACTACTACTACTACTACTACTACTACTACTACTACTACTACTACTACTACTACTACTACTACTACTACTACTACTACTACTACTACTACTACTACTACTACTACTACTACTACTACTACTACTACTACTACTACTACTACTACTACTACTACTACTACTACTACTACTACTACTATTGCTACTAGTACGACTACTACTAATGACTACTACTACTACTACTACTACTACTACTACAACTGCTACTTCTACTGTTTCTACGTGTATTAGTACTACTACCGCTACTTATCACGACTGCTACTACTACTACTACTACTACTGCGACCCCTGCTATTTCTTCTTCTGCTACTACTATCACTACTACGCCTTCGACTACGACTGCGATCGCGACTACCACTACGAGTACGCCTAGTACTAGTACGACGACGCCCACCGACTACTATTACTATTTTATTTTCGTCTAGTGTTACTACCACGAGGCATATAACTACTAATGTGGTTCCATCTGTCTTTATTATTACGACTAGTCGTAGTAGTAGTAATAGTAGTAGTAGTAGTAGTAGTAGTAGTAGTAGTAGTAGTAGTAGTAGTAGTAGTAGTAGTAGTAGTCGTTGTGGTGGTAGTAGTAGTAGTAGTAGTAGTAGTAGTAGTAGTAGTAGTACTGCTACTACTACTTCTGTTACCACTACTACTACGACTACTATTAGTATCACGACTACTAGTAGTACGTGAGCCGTGGTTGGAGCCGCAAATCATCAACGGCGAATTCTTCCTGGTCTTGTCTCTTTATTAATGGCATCGATATCCTGTCAAGCAGAAGGGCGGCAACCATTATTCCACAGTGAGCATGGTTCACTGTATATTGTAATGTTGTATACCAAGGCGCATAGACTTGTTATTCCCAGGGCTTCCAGACTGTCCCCTTAGTAGAGTCTCGACGTATCCATCCGGCGCGTGAAAGTAATTGTCCCTTTATGTGGTGGCGGTGCTTAGTGGGGAGCTCGTGTGGTATAGCTCCCTGTGTGTCACGATATGCGCACGGCTTGTGGCCTCACTCCTGATGTGAGAGCATCGTGGTTGGCCACTGGCTGCAAGGTATGTTGTCGCGGCATGCTATCATCACTGGCATAGTTGACTTGTAAAGGGAAGATCAGAGATCTGAAAACAACACTGTCCCATATTACCACATGACCATGGCCCTGCCTCTCCCCCAGGGGTGCCCGTTTGGGCCCCCGTTCAGGGTATGGTTCTTGTATTCGGTGTTGTGGTAGGTCTGATGGTCGTAATGCTGGCCCGGTCATGCGTTGCGTACTTGGCGCTTGACCGTGCTACTCGGGTGTATAGCGTGTCGGTCGTGCTGCGTATATGTTGAGCTGTGCGATGAGGCTGTGTGTCGGTATGCTGCGCTCTGTTCCCGTCTCCCCTTCCTTCCTCTGTTCGTTCCTTCTTCTCCCCTCTTCTTCCTCCTTCTCCCTGCTCCTCCGCCGTTTCTGCATCCGTGTCTTGCCATTGTCCTTCGTTTGAAGAGGATCCACGCGCGTGGCACCCTTGCGAGGGGCGAACGAAAAACCCAACAAAAAACAATAGGTCATTGAAAGCAACCAAACGGACCAAAGATCGACAGCTGAAAAACAAAACATTTTTTTGGGCACTTGGTCAGGGGGTGGGTGGTAGGGGCGCACAAAGTGTAGTTGTTTTAGTTCTAGTTGTTGTTATTGTTCCGTGCGTCTTTTAAAACAAGTTTTCCAATCATCGACCTTAGTTTTTTTGATGTTGTTGGTTTTTCCTTGTGTTTCTTTGGCTGATCAGCCCCATGACGGCCCAAGATGGCCCCGGGACGCCCGCCGAATCATTCCAAATCGTGACCCGGTCGTTCAGGGAGATCGCGGTTTGAGGCAGGGTGGTCCGAGGAGCCCTTGGAGGTTCCCAGAAGACGTCCAGGAGGCTCCAGAAGGCCTTAGGAAAACTTGAACAACTGTTGTGGGGCCCCCGGAGGCTCTCCAGGGAGAAGCCTCCGCAAAAAGAGCTGAGAAGGATGGGGAGAATACGCAGGGTATGGCAAGAATGAGGAATAAGAAGCATGGAGGGATGACACCGAAAAGCATTACTAGAATGGCGACGCCGGAAAAGGTAACAAGAAATTATCGCTAAATCGTCGGCTTGCCCTTCCTGCCGTTCCGCCTGCGTGCCGAATTTCAAGTATCAGGGCGCATGGCGCAAAGCGCCAATGCAGCCCCGTGCATATACATATCTATGTGTATACATGGATTGTTCTCTGAAGGCTAGCGGCATCGATGCATGTGCATCGATGCGCGTGCACACCCGAGACGGCCCAAGAGGCCCCCAAGACGGCCCAAGACGCCCCAGTCCGTTGCCATGCGGGCTCAAGTTCGGCCCATTTACATACAAGTATTTTGCTGTTCTGCACCTCTTGCTTCCGGCGAGATTTGCTGGGATGGCGGCTGCTTGGAAGGCGCCGTGGGCCATCATCGCGGCGTCGTTCGCGCCCTTGGCTCGCGCGCTCGGCGATCCCTAGCTCTCGCGCGCGACGCTTTCAGAAACCGTAGACTTATCAAGTCGAACAAGTGAAGGTAATATAAGCGTGATGCAGTCGGAATTCAGCCTGGGTTTTCGTGCTTCGTTTCCTTCGCATATATTGATTTTCAATTTCGCGAAAGTGGCTTCAACTAGCCAGCAGCTTGCACTCGGCAAGCTTAACCATTCGGACCTATCATACTTGGCAACAAATAGCGAATCGCACCCACCAGGACTCAAGACGCATAATTATATTGTTGCCCGGGATTTCATTCAAAAGCTG